CGCTAGAGTTTCATCGGAAAGAAATTATACGGGAAATTAACTAACGACCAGAGACATAACAGTTGTTTCTGGTGTTTCCTTAATAGAATAATGCTGTAAAGAACTGACTTCACTAAGAGTGAACGTTGATGATTATTCACTTTATAACTTCAAGCAAAGCAGTAATATTGCAAACAAATCTAGTATTAATGTTAACATGCCACGAGTTAGTCAACGACAAGTCCAACGTGCAAATGCAGAATATGGTTCATTGGAGGATTACTTTAAGAAAATAGTAACCATTTCTTTTCTTGACCACGTTATCAATACTCTATCCTCCATGTTTGGTGCACATCTGAAATAAACAGCACCAATTCAGCAACTTATGCCATCAAAACACACACAGAGTTTTCTATTACTGATATTAAACAGGCCATAGATTTTACAGAGATTTGCCAAATCCCGATATTTTTGATGAAGAACTTCATCGATGGAGGACAAGATAGCTTTCTGTACCTCTTCAGGATAGGCTCTGGATAATGGCTGACAAATTAAAAGCATTCTTCAGTGTACCCAATATCTTATGCTACTGAAACTCTTTACCACACTGCCACTAAGTTCATGTTCATCCGAATGTTCGGGATCTGCTCTCCGCCGGTTGAATAATTACATGCAGAGTACACAAACCTAAGAAAGACTGGGTTCTCTAGCTTTAATATATAATCATTATGACACTGCTATCAACATTGAAACTGTACGTAAGTTTTTTACGAAAAATCACCCCAGAAGAATGGAGCATGCTAACATGCTATTTCAGTAATGTATAAGTATATGACAGCCAATTATTCAAATATTTAATACACTGTTGATGTACAGAGTTGTTTAAACTAGTAGTATAATCAATTAATAACTACTCTGCAAATAGATAGTACAATACTTTACTTTATTTATGTTAATTTAAGTCTAGCTGTCAATGCAGTATTACAACAGAATGAATGATGGTTTCTGATTAAGAAGTTAGGCCACAGGATCCTATACAAAAGTTTTAATGGTTTTCAAACGAGTCCCAAAACTCGAGCGCTTTCGAATAGTTTGAAAACCAGAATGACGATTTGTTGACTTTTCTTGAATTTTGTGTGAAGAGTCATGCAATTGTTTAAGTTATACCTCATGCAAAATTGCTTCTAGAGCACCTATCTTTTACAAAATTTTTTGAGGGGCATGATCTCTCAAATTAGAACCCTTCTTTCAAACATTCTGCGTACAGGCCTGTAACTGTGAAAAGCTCTCTGACATTTAAATTTATTTACAAATGACTATCACCTGGCAGTGTTCCAGGATTTTTTGACACTTTCTCCGTTTAAGTGATGGCGGGGGATTTCCTTGTCGTCGCAGGGACATGGAATAAGATACAACTCTTTCAAAATATTGTTTATTAGCGCCATCTATTCATGTTCAAATTAAATGCGCATCGAATATGGCGACTGCTACAGCGGGATTAAAGTGGTTAAATTTACTGGAAAAGGAGTTTGATAAAGCTTTTGTGGACCTCGATTTGCTTCTTGGAGCAATCGACGAAGATCAGTGCGAAATCATGTACGAAGGAAGACAGAAGATGACAGCACTTAGTGCTGCATTCGCTCAGTTGTGTCACAAAGCACTAACTGTGTTTGAAAATAATGGTAAATTGGAGGTAAGTTACCACAAGATTTCTGAAAGTTACTTTCATTATCTTTTAGTTTTGCGAATCTTAGTTGATACGATTTATTTCGCCGTCATATACATTGACAAAGGGCATGATGGTCGAAGCGTTAAACTTATAAAATAAAATAAAATTTATGGCATTGGCAGTCTAATTGTATTTCAAGTATTTGTAAAAATGTATTACTAATAACTAAATAAAACCAATGTACTAATTAAATTTCAAGTAATTTAGTATAATTTAGAAATTAGTATTACTCAAACTGACTTTTGTTGTTGCAATTATTAATATGTATTGTCGGTATATCAAGCTATTGACATTAAAACATCTTGAAGTTGAAGCAATGAAGGTTGAAATATGGTTGTAAATTTTCGACCTGGCTTTTGAAACAGTTTTTCATTTGTCACTAATGTGCTGGTGGCTTTTATTAGAGCTTTTTTTTTTTTCTTATGAAGAGGGCATGCTTATGTCAAGCCTTCCCTTAAAATTAAACTCCTCTGAAGGGGGCTTGTTTCAAAGGCCAACCACACCCTGTTAGAAAATAAAAGCTGTTTTAGCTTAAGATATTTCCTACCCCTGGCAAAATTTATATTTGTGTCCCCTTAAAATTACCTTTCTCACCATTGAATAAAAAAAGTGATGCATTAATACTCATAATCTTATTAAGAATCTTAAAAGTTAAACACCACAATCAGATCCCCTTTAACTCTTCTTTTTCAAAAGAATACAATTTGAGACATCTCAACTTATCCTTGTATGACAAATTTTCAACCCCAGGTATCATAGCCTTTCTTTAAACCTTTTACAATAATTTAGTGTCCTTTCTGTGGTAAGAAGCCCATACTTAACATAGTACTCCAAATGTGGCCTAACCAATCACCCATAGAATGACATATTACCTTCTTGGGCTTGTATTCAATACTTCTGTAGATACAACCTAAACACCTATTTGCAATGCCACTAGCAACAGCATGTTTCTTGGATGGCTTCAGAGACTGATCAACCAGAACATCAAGTTCCTTTTTTTCAATAACACTGTTAAGGGTATTCCCATCAAAATTATTCTCATAATTCAAATTCTGATATCCCACATGCAATACCTAACTTTTATTGTAATTAAAAGACATTTATTTGCATAACTTCATATTCTTTTCTAAAGCATCCTCCTCCTCTTCACAGCCAGCAACCCCACACAATTTAATATTATCAGTAAATTTAAGTAATTTATTTACCATTCCATCTTCTCTTTCATTAATATGAATTAAGAAGAGCAAAGGTCCTAACACTGAGGAGCCTTGAGGTACCCAAACAATGATATTAACCTAATTTGACTGAATTCCATTTATAACAACCCTCTGCTTTCTTCATTCCAGCTAGTTTTCTATCCAGGAAGCCAGAGATGACTTTTTAATAAGTCTTTTTTTTTTTGTGGTATCTTGTCAGATGTTTTTTGAAAAGCCAGATACACCAAATACACACCTCATCTACATAAGTAGCAACCTATTAAAGAATGTCAAAGTATTAGTAAGGCAAGATTTTCACCTAGTGAAACCATGCTTATTATCCGACAAAATTTTAAACTTTGTTAAATGACTTTGCAAAGCATCTTTTATCAGACATTCAAGAACTTTTCACATCACTGATGTAAGGCTAACAGGCTTAAAATTATGTTTTTATCACCACCCTTGAGGTGTAACATTAGCCAACTTCCAGCCTTCTAGCACTTGCCCACTACTCAAGGACTTAGAAAAAAAAAGCAGCAAGTGGCTCATCTATCCAACATTTAGGTAAATATTACCTAGCCCAAATGCTTGATCACTTGAAGATAGCTTTTATATGCAGAAACATCTGTTAACTGAGTTCTTGCACAGATCTTAAAATATAACGTTGATAAACGGAAACATCAGCACATGTAGATATGTAGATCTTGAAAGTCGAATTG